AATGCTGGGTTTTCTGTTGATGATACTGATGTGAAGTTACCTTTTAAAATAAATTTACGTAAATGGAGCTCTCCCCCTGGGCCCCGCTGGCATTTGGGGCTGGATCAGTGTCTGTCCTGGGGGCTGTCCTGTGCTTTGGAGGATGTCCAGCAGCAGCCTGGCCTCCTGTGCCTCCTACATCCCAGTGGCTAACCTGCTCCGCTGGCTGAGAATCACTGGTGTAAGGCATACACATTTAGGCAAAATCATGAATTGAGAAAGTGGAGGTAGTTGGATATCATAGAAATCCCAGGTGTGTGTGAACATGGCTAAAGTTTGGGAAAATGCTGAGGAAATTTCCTTCAGTTGCGGGGTCCACTTACTAAGGTCCTTGTGCCCCTTCTTTGGCACTGACACTGGCTCAAGAGTCAGGTACAAGGGGGTGTCTTGAAGGGGTTGCTGTGAAGCCACGTTGTCCAGTAGAACTTCCTGTCATGCTAGAATGTCCCGTATCTGCACAGTCCAGTCCATAGCCACTGGCCACATGGGGCCACGGAGCTTGAAACATGTACTTAGTGAGAGTTAGGGACTCAGTTCTCTTATTTTAATTAACTTAAAGGGCAGATAGCTATGTGCGATAGCGCCTGCCCTGTCGGACAGCACCGCTCCCGGGGAGGCAGAACGGAGAGGCCAGGCTGGTCGCATGAGGCTTTGAGGTGTAGGTCGCACCCTTTAGGAGGCTAGAATTGCAGACATGCACATCCAGCAGGGATGCAGCTTCTCTTTCTAAAGTTGTATTGTATTGATTATGCTATGACAGTTGTCCTTATTTTCCCCCTCTTGCCCCCCTCCACCCAGCACCCCCCACTCCCTCAGGCAGTCCCCCCTCATTGTTCATGTCCGTGGGTCATGCACAGAAATTCTTTCGCTACTCCATTTCCTATACTATGCTTTACATCCCCATGGCTGTTCTATATCTACCGATTTGTACTTCTTAATCCCCCCCCCCTTCACCCATTCCCCCACATCCCCCTCCTCCCTGGCAACCATCAAAACGCTCTCCATATCCATGATTCTGGCTCTGTTCTTCTTGCTTGTTTTTTAGATTCAGTTGTTGATAGAGTTGTGTTTTTTGCCATTTTAGTGTTTGTAGTTTTCATCTTTTTCCTGAATAAGTCCCTTTAACATTTCATACAGTAATGGTTTGGGGATGATGAACTTTAGTTTTTTCTTATCTGGGAAGCTCTCTATCTGCCCTTTGATTCTAAATGATAGCTTGACTGGGTAGAGCAATCTTGGCTGTAGGTCCCTGCTTTTCATGACTTGGAATATTTGTTGCTCCTCCCTTCTTTCCCACAAAGTTTCTTTTGAAAAAGCAGCTGATAGTTTTATGAGAACCCCCCTGTAGGACTTCTTTTCTCTTGCTGCTTTTAAGATTCTCTCTTTATCTTTAATCTTTGGCATTTTAATTATGTGTCTTGGAACGGGCCTCTCTGTGTCCATCTTGTTTGGGACTCTCTGTACTTCCTGGACTTTCATGTCTGTTTCCTTCACCAAAGTAGAGAATTTTCCTTTCGTTATTTTTTTCAAATATATTTCTGATTTCTTGTTCTTTCTCTTCTCCTTCTGGCACCCCTATGATGCAAATGTTGGATCTCTTGAAGTTGTCCCAGAGGCTGCTTATACTACCCTTCTTTTTTTGGATTCTTTTTTTCTTCTTGTTGTTCTGATTAGTTGTTTTTTGCTTCCCTATGTTCCAAATCATTGATTTGATTCTCAGCTTCATCCACTCTACTGTTGCTTCCCTGTAAATTGTTCTTTATTTCAACTAGCATATCCATTTTTCTGACTGGATCTTTTTTATGCTGTTGAGGTCCTCACTAAGTTCCTTGGGCATCCTTATAGCCAGTGTTTTGAACTCTGCGTCCGATAGATTGCTTATCTCCATTTTGTTTTGCTCTTTTTCTGGAGTTTTGATCTTTTTTTTCATGTGAGCCATGTTTCTTTGTCTCCTTGTTTGGGCAGCCTCCTTGTGCTTGTTTCTGTGTGTTAGGTAGAGCTGTGTTGACTCTGTGTCTTGGTAATGTGACCTAATGTAGTAGGTGTTCTGTAGGGTCCAGTGGAACAGCCTCCCCGATACCCCAAGCTGGGTACTTGAGGTGGGGCCTTTGTGTGGGCTGAATATGCCCACTTCTTGTAGTTGAGGCTTGGTTGCTGTTGGCAGATCAATGGGAGGGAATTACCCAGATCAGTCAGGGGCAAGGACTGGCTGTGACCACTTACCACCAACCTCTGTGGAGGATCAGCTGTGCAGGGGCGGGGTGGTGGTGGTCTGACATGGTCTGTCGCTGTCTGCTGGGCGCGCTGGCCCTGGGGATTCCTGGGTGGTACAGGCCAAGGTTGGCCCCCACCTGTGTTTTGCCCAGGGCCACCCTGAGTGAGCTATAAAGCAATTTGAGATGGCTGCTACTTGTGCTTGGCTTGGAGATTCCCAGGCAAAGCCAAGCAGTGAACCTAAGCTGGCTGTTGCTAGTGCTGGGCCTGGGACTCATTGAGGGCAGCTGTTGCTTGTTTGAGAGGATTTAGGAAGTTGTGAAGCATGAGCCAAGACCAGCCATTCATATGGAAAGGCAACTTGCCTGGGCCTATAAGATGGCTGGGGCAGAGTATCTGAGGATCTTGAAGGTGGGTCAAACATTGTTAGCCAGGTTGATAGAGTCTCAGAAATGGCACCAGCTTGCTGGCTCATTGTGGATAGATGTGGTTTCTTTGATTCTGTAGTTGTCAGACTTCCATTCAACTCAATTTCTGAGCGTTCTGACTGATGGTTGTTGTATATTTTAGTTGTAATTTTCATGTGGTTGTGCAAAGAGGCGGGTCATGTCTGCCTATTGCCGCCGTCTTGACCGGGAGTCTGGGATGCATTTTTAAGGAGGGTGGGGCCATGTGGGAGGCAGGACCGTCAGATGGGAGGTTTGGGGTAGTGGTGAACAGATACCCAACTAGAATTGGCTTGAACAAAGTAAAATAAAACAAAACAGATTCATTGAGTCCTCAGACAGAGAGCCCAGGGAATGGACAGACCATCGTGGAGCTTTTCTGCATGTGTAAGCGCGTGTCAGCGCGTGTGTGCTCTTGCTTTCATGCAGAGACTAGGCTCCTGGACACGCCTCGCAGCTCCTTGCTTTTCGATGTAGCATGTCTTGCACCAGGGCCATTTAGTGTGTACAGCTTGATGTCTCAGTCTTCAAAGATGGTTGGGAATTCCATTTGGTGGACGTTCCCTGTGTATTTAACCAACGGATTTGATGAATGGTCAGGTTTGTTTCCAGTCTTTTGCCCCCACAGCACAAGGCTGCACTGAATGGGCCACGTGCTTTTGGGCACGTGCACACACCCCTACAAATTCAGTCACGAATAACCTGGGAGCTTGCTGCGTGGAACCTTCTGCTAAAACAGAACAAACAAAACTTATATAAACAGTCAGCCAGGCAGAATGCAGTTCTCTAAAATTCATTTTTTAGCTTTCGTTAGAAACAGAAAACTGGGCTCCATCATGACGGGATCATTACAGGATGGGGAGAAGATTTCTGATTCACAGAGGAGTCGGTCACGACCTTCTAGAAGTTCTTTGATAATAGAAAGGTGTGCTTCCTGTCAGAGGGACCCCTCACCCCAATTCATTCAACACTTGCGTGTCTGCCGTTGGCCAGCGTGGGTAATTCATACCCAAGGGCAGGACTGGGGTTGGACTCCTTGAGGCTCCTGGGTGTCTCAGGCCTTTGGACAAGCCAGAAGGGTCCCAGCACGAATGAATTACTAGAAGTGAAACCTGTCCTTATCAGAGCCACGCTCCGCCCACCCGAGCACCAGTTTACTGGAACGAGGATGCTATTTTTAAGAAGCAGTATCGTGTTTCATCATGGAAATTTTGAGCTTTGGAGCAGGCAGCTTGCTGCTGGCCGGCTAATCTTGAGACTCCGGAGTCCCAGGGACTGTGCCTGCGCCGTCCTGGACCTCAGCGCCCCACCAGGGCCTGCCTGGACCGTGGGACGACGAGGGGAGAAGGGAGGGCCCTGGCGGACGAGCGATGATGTGAGTCGCGTCCGGTTGGTTTCACTTTGCCTGGCAGTGTCTCCGGGGCTGGCAGGGCTGGGTTCCGCCTGCCAGCCTGTCTGTGCGAGGCAGAGAGGTGAATATCGGGTATTTCTATTGCAGTGCCCATGAGGGCTTGCAGCTCTCCAAACACCTTGATTATGGGCTCTCCTGAAGGACAAGCTGCCTTTTTCCGGGGGGGTTGGCGGGGGTGGTTCTCAGAGTGGCTTGTGTTGCCAGAACCACCACATTCCGGGGTGTTCTCTTACTTGTGTGCTGGCGACCTGGTAGCTAGTGAGTGTCCTCTTGGGACAGCCGGTCGCGGAGTCGGGGGGGACGCGGGAGGGGCACTCAGGGCCAGCCTGCCTGCAGCCTGCACGCCGGCCCACCTCCAGGCCGGGCTGGGCTCTGAGCCACTGTCTTTCTGTATTGCTGAGAGGAGACCGGTGGAAAGGAGAGCTTCCCCTCCGCCTTTACACCGTAATCTTGGTGTAACCAGCAACCCTGACGGCAGGGGCTTTGGAAAGAGACCAGTTTCAGGTGAAAGGCCAGGCTCAGCTGTTTCTCACGTCTCAGCAAGCCTGGGTGCTTTGTTCAGCTGCCCTGAGCTTTGTCTCTTATCTGTAGCATGCAAGAGTGATAACAATCTTACCAGTGAAAAAATGAACTCTGTTTTTTGAAATAAATAATTTGGGCTTGGACTCCAAACATCTTTGAGTCTGAACTCAGCTTCTTAGGACCCTCAGCTCCGTTTCCCATCTCACTGAAGGATGAAGCCCCAGGTGGGGCTATGTGGTCCAGGCCAGTGAAGAGGCCTGAGAAGCATTCAGAGACGGGTGGGTAGGTGTGGGCGTGGCTTTCAGGAGTGGGCGTGGTCTCGATGATGTGGGCGTGGCCTTGACAGTGTGGGCTTGTCTTTCCCACAGGTGCTGTGAGTGGCTGAGATGCTGTGGTGGAGGGGAGCCCAGGCCCCGCACGGTCTGGTTGGGGCACCCCGAGAAGAGGGACCAGAGGTATCCTCGAAATGTCATCAACAACCAGAAGTACAACTTCTTCACCTTTCTTCCCGGGGTATGTACAAGCAGGGAACACAGCCATTTTTTCCCTTCTCACACCACATGTACCCGGTGAGGCCAGTCCTGGAAGATGGAGGTCCCCGGGCAGAGTTTGTGAACACACTCTGCCTTTGCTGCCTTTCACTACTGGCTGCTCATCTTCCCTGGTCCTCAGCACCTGGAGGTGGCTGCTCTCTGTGTGTCAGGCTGTGAGACCACCTGAACAGTTAGCGTAACTTCACATTTATTTGGTGTGTTGTGTGTGAGAGAGAAAAAGATATTATGGACCTAGCATTATAACCAAAGAGCCAAACACCCCAGCAGAGTTTAAACCCCGCCCCCCCCCCCCCGCCATCCCGAAACACATATTTAGCTCCAGGAACGCAGGGGGATAAGAGTATAGAGAAAGTTTACAAAGAAGCATTTTAATGTTACCATCAGAGAAAGAATTTCTGTTCATGTTTTTGCTCTAGCATTTTTGCTAATCAACGTATCCGTTTCGCTTGGTACGTTACTCTGGAGTCATAGCATTTTCACATCAATTTATACAAATCCATGGACTTGTGCTCCTGAAACCTTCCCCCAATGCACGTAAATTCAATGCCTACTTTTACCCAGCGCAGCCTCCAAACGCTCTGAATGACTTTAGAAGCAGCAGGAGCAACCAGTTCCAATACTGGGAAGGCAAAAAAAAAGCTACTATCTTCAATTTCTTGAGAGATAATACAGGAACACAAATACATGCTATGGTAGCTTAAGGTCAATTTGAATGTGTGTTGTTTTTTTTTTAAGGATGATTTTGACTACATTCACTGCTAAGCTGTCTCAACCCTCCCTACCCATCCCCCAAATCTTAGCATAGTAAGTCAAGAGAGAGTGTATTCCTCATTCCTGGACATTCTGATGCACACCTGGCCACTTTCTTCTGTCACCGACATCCCCATGACCGGGGCAAGAGCAGGTGGCTGGACCACAGCTCTTGAGTGCCTTAGCCTCGGAGAGACATGTCACTTTCGCTCCTTGCCAAACCTTGTGTATCAGTCTCCCTGCCAGGGCCCACGGGGGCGGTCGGAGCTGCCAGAACACGCCTGCCACACGCGGTGGGAGTCATCAGCGTGTGTGTTGTATTTTGTGGCACTGAGATCGTATTGTGGAAATGACGGTTGATCTTGCTTTCAACATTTTTAAAAAATCTTTTTTGTGTTAACATCTTGCTTTTTTGATCATTTTTATAGCATAAGCATTTCCCACTAAAACTCATTTTTAGAAACAGTTTGAATGGCCTACCTGTGCTTACAAAATAGTTTAAGAAATGAAATACACCAGATACAGTTGAAGCCCCAGAGTGCCCTGCGCAGAGGCAACCGCTGCCTTGAATGTGCTGTGTACGGTTTCTACCTGTGTCGTTATTTACACTTTTACTTTTAATACTGTATTTTTATTACATACAGAACTGTTTGATCTTTACATGACAGGTATCACGTGAGTTGCATTCTTCTGTAGGAAGGTTTTTAAACATTAGTCACCTCCCACTAAACCTGCCCAACCTCATCAGACAGGCCTTGAATTTGAATGTCTCCTTCCTCTTCTCTCCACCTTCCAGGTGCTGTTTAACCAGTTCAAGTACTTTTTCAACCTCTATTTCTTACTTCTCGCCTGCTCCCAGTTTGTACCTGAAATGAGACTTGGTGCGCTCTACACCTACTGGGTTCCCCTGGTGAGTACATCAGCCTCGTCTGCTCAGTGACCTCAGAGGTTTGGGGACAGACAGCTCTTTGTCTCTCTCACCCGAGCATGTGGGATGGGAGCGCGGCCTTTCAGGGGAGAGGGTGCCCTCAAAACCAACACATTGGGAGTCCCCAAGATTCTAAGGTGGAAGTTCCACTTCCTGCCTCAGCAAGGTCACATGACAGGAAAGCCTGTGCTGTTCGTTCATTCTGCCACGCAGCTCCTCCATCGTCCCTTATCTCAGCAAATATTTGCTGCTTGCTTATTGTGGGTCACCCATTTCTAGACTCTGGGGACACAGTGGCCAATGAGAACGGCAAAGCCTCTGCCTTGCTGGACTGTGCTATTTGAATTGTTTTTTGGCATCTCATTTTCTATTTACTCTGTAGAGAGTGTTTAGTGTGAGGGTTTATACAAGTGCGCGCGGGGGACAGAACCAATCAGAATGCCCCTCCGTCCCTTCCCTTACTTTCTTTTCTTCCTTCCATCCCTTTGGCAAATGGTGATTGAGCACTGACACCATGCCCGGCGCTGTGCAGGCTGCGGGGGGCGGTGCAGCAACAAACGAAACATACAAATTCCTGCCCGCACAGAGTTGATTTTCAGAGGGAATAAGCAATAAGCAGATGAATAAAATTCTTTGCAGTTGTGAGAAGTGCTGTGAAGATCACAGAAGAAGGTCATAGCACAGACGAGGTATCCCAGGCACAGGGAGTGTTTGTTGGAAGGATGAAGGTGGGGGTGGGAGATGGAGAGGGGCAGCCTCACAGGAGGCGTGAGAGGCTTCGTGAGGAGGTAGGTGATGGGAAGGAGAGCAGGAGGCTGGGAGCATTCTGGGCGCAGGGAGCGGCTGTGCAACGGCCCTGGGGCGGGCACGTGCTCCGAGCATTTGGAGGACAGAAGGAAGCCCAGCACGACTGGGCTGCGGAGAGGGCAGGACTGACATCTCTTTTTCTCCAGAGACATTATGAAATATAATCGCTGTGTTACCTCTGTCTAAGCTGAACTCCGGGGGACCACTTAGATTCTTTTTTCACAACTGTGGTTAAATTTTTAATTGGAAGATTTTTTTTTTTATTGATTTGAGAGAGAGAGAGAGAGGAAAACATCGATTTGTTGTTCCACTTATTTATGCATTTATTGGTTGCTGCTTATAGATGCCCTGCCGGGGTGGGGATTGAACCCACAACCTTGTCATATTGGGACAGCACTCTATCCAACTGAGCTACCCAGCCAGGACAGAAGAAGATTGTTAAAGCAAAAAAGATTTAAGTTCCCCTTAAGAAAACAAAAGCAAACATTTTTATTGGTGGCAGGTAGGAGGGAAAGGATTTGGCGCACGGCCGTTTTTGGAGTAAGGGGAGCCAGCTGCTAAGGGAGCCGTGCGTAGGTGCACACACTGGAGTGTTTCACCATCAGACAAGTCCGGCCAGCAGCGTTAGCCCTGAGAAGAGATGGGGGCCTTTATTTCTTCCCCACGAGCAACGGAGGTGCTTTTGGAGTGTGAGAATAGCTCTTCCTGCTCTGAGTCACTTGTGGGTGGCGAGAGTCCTTTCCTCGGATGACAGACATTCCTGCCTGCCTGCCTGTGTTCTTACACCCGGAGTATTGCAAACTCAGGCTCGGCTGACGGGATCGGGCGCTGGGGGAAGTGGGGCGCTCCTGCCCCGCCCAGAAGTGGAAGGGGCCTCTCTGTGCCCTCAGGTGCAGACGTGGAGCTGGAGCTGCCTGACCCGAGAGTCAGAAACTTCAGAGTTTTATATGACATGCCCTGATTTGATTCAGTTTTTAGTTCTACAGCTATTTATTACATACTTAATTAAAATCAACACCATGCCTCACTTATTTTTAAAACGTTAACCTGTACTGTATATAAAATATCATTTAAAAAATATTTTACTTATTTATTTTTAGAGAGCAAGAGAAAGAGAGGGAGAGAAACAGCAGTGTGAGAAAGAAATATTAATCGGTTGCCTCTCACATGCCCCAACCTGGGGACCTGACCCGCAACCCAGGCATGCGCCCTGACTGGGAATCGAACTGGAGACCATTGGGTTTGCGGAATGACAGTCAACCCACTGAGCCACACCAGCCAGGGCTAAAATACCATTTCTTGATCACCTTTTTAAAGTGTAGTTATTGGAAAGGTAATACATTCACGTGACTCAAGAAACAAAAAAGCAGATTGCTAGTGAAAAATCTCCCTTCTATCCAGTTCTGCCCCCAAAAATACTGTCATTTTTTCCTTGTTTATCTTTCCAGAGTTTATGAGCAAGTACAGTGAATAAACATGCCTGTCTTTTCCCTCCTCCCCTTTACTTCTTTTAGAAAAAAGTAGCAAGGTGTCTATGGTGCTGAATACTTTTTCTTTCTAATTTCCAGCATCTCTTTTTCTTGATTTTTAACCATTGACAACTCATTGAAAAAATGTTAAAGCACCAGATGAATCGAACACACCCCACCTGGTGCTCTGCCAGACGTTGTAGGGAGCTCCTCCGTCCCTCTCATTGGTGACTTTGTGCTCGGGGAGTGTCGAATACGCCAGACCCTACCTCCCAAGTCTTGCGTATTTGATTCTCCCCAAACCCAGGTCTGTTGCTCTCTGCTGCCTCCCAAGTAGCTACTGTTCTTTTTTCTTTTCCTAGTTCAGTTACAAAGGGGCTCTTTATTATTGGAGAAGAATTTGAAGACCAACCAAAAAAAAAACAAAACCCCTCAACAACAAAAAACAAAAACCACCTGTGCAGCCACCCCTGACAATACGCCATTTATGTTTCTGGTCAGTTTCCTTTTAGTCTCTTCTTACATGTGCTCGTGTTGTATACATACTCGAGCATACAGTGTAGTGAATTATGTGTGTATATATATTGTGTAAATGCATATGCTTTGTAAATTGGGATCCTGAGATGTCCCCAAAGGCCGCTAGCTGTGTGTCCCCCTCTTTCCTGCCTCTTGCATCTCAAGTGTGATAGCTGGGAGCTGGCGTATGCTGTCTCCCCTCACGGGATCCGTCTGTCCAGCCTGTGGTGTAAACCCATCATCTGAAAGGATCTTGGGGTACAGACCTATTCACGCCCTTACAACCTCGTTTACCTTATCATTGGCATCTTTGGTGGGGAGGGAACTTGACCCATATTGGGCATAGGTTTTTCACTTTCTTATCCAGATTCAGGTAGATACGACTGAGGAGAGATGGACTTATGCAGGAATTCACAGGCCTGAAAAAGTTGGGTAGGAAATGAAATCAGCCCGGTTGAATTCTTCCAGAGCAGTCATCGGAGAGTCCTGTGGCCGGAGCCCACACATGCAGGGAGGGAAAAGGATTCTTCACTTGATGAGCGAGAACCAGAGGAGCCCAGGAGAATAGGAAGTTGCTTGAGATCACGCTAGATGTGAAGAGTTCTGGTCTCATGAAGGCAGAGACTCACACTTCGATATATCTATGTCTATATGTATATTAATCCTCGCCCAAGGATATGTTTCTTAATTTGAGAGAAAAAGGAAGGGAGACAGAGAGATAGAGAAGCATCAATGTGAGAGAGATATATTGATCGTTTGCCTCCTGTAAGCACCCCGATCAGCGATCAAATCTGCCACCAGCCTAGGTACGTGCCCCGACTTGGACTAGAACCTGCAACCTTTTAGTGTACAGGGTGATGCTCCAACCAACTGAGCCGCGTGGCCCGGGTGCAGGGGCTTGGGACCCTGGGACCTGTGTGATACTGTGGGTACAAAGGTATTCCTTGCGGCATGGTGTATGTCACAAACAGCTGGAAACAAACACATGTTCGTCGGCAGTTACCTACGAGCTGGCGGAGTTGACCTTGGGAGGTTGCCCAGGAGTGAAAAACAGGGCAGTCTCTCCATCATGTTGACATGGGAAGGTGTGACTTAATAATTTTCTTCCCAGGAAAGAAAGAGGTTGCAGAACAACATGGACAGTGTGCAACAATTGTTATGACCCTCTTCTTCCCCCCGAACAATACATATTTCTACACATTTCTGTCTGGAAGCTGCTTCCCCAAAGCCAGTGGTTGTCTCTGGAGCCGGGAGTTGCCTTTTGTTCTTGTGTTTTTGATGTGATTGTAGCCAGACTTCTGTCTTAAGTCACCTGAGCGCTTTTCTGGATGTCGGAGAGTTACAGGAACTGAATGGGTCAGATGTCTGAAATGCTTTAGAACAAAGTTGTGCTCTGCTACAGGCAGGAGCCGGCTTGGTGTTTGGGGCTGGTGACCAAGGATCAACGTGTTGAATGTGACTTGATTGCAGATACTGTTCCCTTTTCTGTTACTGGATTTTCTTTTTTCTTTTCACTTCTTTTCTTTTTTTAGAATGTCTTAGAGACATGCTTTTTGAAGAGAAAGAGAGAGAGAGAGAGGATGGGAGGGAGGGGGAGAGAGAAGGAGAGATGGACAGACAGACATTGATCAGTTGCCTCTTGCACATGCCCCGACCAAGGATCAAACCCACAACCTAGGTATGTGCCCTGACCAGGAATCGAACCTGCAACCTTCTGGTTCACGGCATGACGCCTAGCCAACCGAGTGACCTGGCCAGGGCTAGTGCTGTCTACATCCGCACCTGTGATGGCAAATTCCAGGGTCTGCAGAAGCCCCTGAGGGAGGGCAGTGGGGTGAGGCGGGAGGGCCGGAAGAGGGCTGGGGGCTGGGATGACCCGGGGCGGGGCTCCCTCCCAGTTCCAGCCCTGTTTCCTTGCTGAAATGTCTTTCAGATTCCCCAGGAGAAGCCAGAAGGCCTGACTTTCTTTTTTAAAAATTAAATTTATTGGGATGACATTGGTAAATAAGATTATATAGGTTTCAGGCGTACATTTCTGTGTTACCTGATCTATATGCTGCATTGTGTGCTCACCACCCAAAGTCAAACATCTTCCATCACCATATACTTGGATGCCTTTATGCTTTATTAACCCCCCACCCCCTGACTTCCTGTCCAAGCCGCTCACTCGCCTGGTGTTCCTGGGACCGAGGCCACGGATAGAAGCCCTGCAGGGACGGCAGCCCCCTTCGCAGCCCTTAGGTTTCTAACTGCATCACGCTCCTCTTTATAGACAGCTCCCCCTCCCCGCCCCCCCAGATGGTTCAGGAGCCAGAGAGGATGCTGCTCTTACAGTAGCCCTGGCTTTCTTGCCAGGGACTCCAGAGAAGGAAGTTTGGGTCAAAGATGAATTAAATGGCGTCTTATTCTAGGTGCCTGTAGCTGACTTCCCCTAAACGCCCTAGATTTTTATGCAGGGAATCAATTTCCAGCTCTGGGCTCGAACACATTTGGACGTGTGTCTGACCGCCCCGAAAGCCCTTCCATTGCAAACCCAGCGATGAGCAGGGGCCGAGCAGCAGGGGGCCTGAGGTGCAGGTCTTGGTTCGCCCTGAGGCGCACACAGCACCCCGTTCCCAAGCAGGCTTCTTAGCACCTGCATCGTGGCTTCTGCGTGCGCTGCCGCCACCTCTGGTTTCTCCGCAAGCTGATCTTGAGCCCGACAACCCCAGGCCCCCACTTTCAAAGCCTCTTTCTGACTATGTGGGTGCGAAGGGCCTCCAAGGTTGGACAGTTGGAATTTATTTCTGGACCGCGTTTGCATCTCTCAGTCAGCTTCTAGCCCGAGGGCGGGCGCGTCCTCTAGGACTGCTGAGAACGTGTGTTTGGTGGGCGGGGGCGGGGGGGGGGGGGACGGGGAGGTAGGACACCTGAGGAGGCTGGGCTTATTTGCAGCAGCGAGGTCAGCAGCTTCTGTTCTTGTCTAAACACACACTTTCTGTCGACATCAGTGGCCCTCTGCCCATCAGTGGCCCTCTGCCCGGCCCACACAGGGAGGAAGAGAAACTGCAACATTTGAAAAAAACAACAACAAAAACCTGGGTTCTGGTCCAGAACAACTGAACAGCACGGGGGACCGGCAGGGGTTCTGCAAACCGGTCCGGGCTCTGCTGGAACAGGTGTTCTCTCTCCTGCACATGTGCCCTGGTGATACTTCTGCTCCAAAATGGACCCCTTTCCATCTGATTGGAAGCAGGAGGCGGGGGTCCTTCGACTGTAAGGCTGTGTGGGGCTTTGGAGAAGCGGCACAAAGCAGCACTTGCAGGCTAGATTTACATAAGAGATTTCAAGTCCTTTGAATCCAAGGTCACGTCTTTCACAGGGTCTACAGTATGAAAATGAAATCAGCCAAGAATCACTGCTGCTAACCCTGGCGGTGCCTGTGTTCTCTGTATTTTTAAAAGATGACAAGGACATTTTGTAAGAACAAGGAATGAATGTTCTTGCCTCTATGGCTATAGGGGGAAAATCTAGATGGAAATAATAGATGAATTGGGGCACCTGACCCGGGAAGATGTGGCAGTTTTATTTTTTATTAGTTGGTCTTCACTCAGTGGACACTTTATAATGGTCTCTTTGTAAAAGCTTAGGACATTACAGAGAGACTGAAGTCTCCTTCAGTCCCTGCCCACCCCGTCCTTGTCCCTTCCTGGCAGAGGAATGTAACCAGTAGTTAAGGAAATTGGAAAGCCTGTAACAGTGTATGGAATCTCGGTTGTTTCTATGAACTGTGTTTCATTGTATGTTTTGGAAGGTTCATTTCCCAGCTGGGAGCTGCCCTGCGAACAGCATGCACCTCATCCTTTTCAGCCTCTGCTGGCAGTCGGCCCCACCCGCCCGAGGTCCTCTACATGCAAAACAGCCTGACCCTTAAGAGCAAGGACTCTCGATCCAGATTTCCTGAGTTCAGAATTCCTGCTCATCACCTAGGAGCTTTGCTACTCAGCCGCTCTCTGCCGCAGTTTTCTTATCTGTAGCACCGTGGTCTCACCAATGGTGACCTTGGATGGCAGATCTCGTAGGGTCACTGGGAGGGTGAAAAGCATGTGGTGATGACATGCAAATGTTAGCGGTCACCATCCCTCGTGTGTGGATGGGCAGCTTGGGCGCGTCTACATTTTTCACTCTTAGAAGCCCCGCAGAGGCAGCGCAAGGGGTGCCCTTGGGCGTGTGTGCCCGTGAGGGTTCCTTCAGGGCGTGTGTAGGAGACCCAGGAAGAGGAGGCTTGCTGGGGCTTGTGTGCATTTGGGATAATTAGCTCGCGCTGCCCTGCTGCCCTCTGGCCTTTTCTGTCCCCCACCCCGGGGGCAGGAAGGTGGGCTTCAGCAGGGTTCACTCCCCTGTCCCCTCTCTCCGCAGGGCTTCGTGCTGGCCGTCACCATCATCCGAGAGGCTGTGGAGGAGATCCGATGCTACCTGAGGGACAAGGAGGTCAACTCCCAGGTCTACAGCCGGCTCACAGTGAGAGGTCAGCCTGCGGCCGCGGGCCTGGGCTGCAGGGCTGCAACTCGGTCATAGGCCGCTGACAGGCAGGGAGCAGAGTTCAAGGCCGTGGGCCAGCGGGTGTGTGGGCGCAGTGTGATGCGACAGTCACCAGGGAGGCCAACATGTTCCCCAGGGCCTGGGGAGCCGTGGGCTGCATCCCCCCATCGCCAGGTCCCCTTAGAAACGGTCCTGTCGGCTGACTTGCGCCTCATCAACCTGGGATTGAAGTCTGTGCTTTTGGAACCCTCTGCTTGCTAATTCCTCACTGTCCAGGATCTGGCTGCGAGGGAAGGAGCGAGCCCCAGCTCCTCCACGTGGGAGGCTGCGAACTCTCTCCTGCATCCCTTTCCAAGGGATGCAGCTTCAAAAGATGCTCTTTCAGCATTTCAAAGCTAATGCTACAGCTTTGCAGCATTAGTTTCTATGAATCTAGGTACAGACTTGTACGTGGAATTATAGTTGACATAAATATTAGCAACATTAGTTTTTCAAAAGGCACCAGGCTTACATCAGTATGGCATCTGTGAAGATTTCTGTGCCAGCATCTTATACATCCTCAAAACTGAGGAGCGGAGAGAGCCTGACCCAAAGGGAAGGGACCAGATCGCCTTTCTTCCCCAAACACATGCATGTTAGATGGAGGAATTGAAAAACCCACCCCAAACCCCACAAAAAACCCCAGCCAAGGTCGGCTTACATTTCCAACTTCCAGTTCTATGGTAGGTTTTCTGCGAGACTGGATTCAGAAAGGAGAGGATGCTACCTACAGTTTCCGGAGAGTTCCGACCCCTTTCAGGGTTTAATGGTGTTCTGGGAGCGGCCAGGGAGTGCACGCGGTGCCTTGTGTGCAGGAAACAGAATTCTGAAAGACCAGACAGGAGCCGGAGGCCGCGGCCCCGAGCCAGGGCAGCAACTGCTTTTGCTGAGCGTTTATTCTTCCAAGGAAGCTGGCCATCCACAGTTTCAGGGTTTTGAGTACAATTTTCCTTTTGGGGAAAAAAGGTCCAAGGAATATGTTTGGGTCTCGAAGAAAAAAAAAAAGACAAAGAAATTTTAACAAAATCCCTGAAGGGCATGAAAATGTTTGTTAGTACATTGCATAAATTTTCATAGCTGGTGCTCTTAAAAATTTGCAAGTCCCTGGGAGAAGTGGGCATTTAGGATTGGTATAGAAATAAATGTTTTACTATTGCCAAACCACAGTATTTTAGGACATTTTGTGAACTAAAGAATAAGAACCCAGCATAGTCTCTGCAAAGGCAGGTGGCTTGGCCTTTCCACGCGGGTAAACAGAAGCCCTCTCTTGGGGGTGTTCTCTGTGGTTGTGTGTATATTAAATCCTCCCTTGGTAACATATTCTGACGAAAACATTTAAAATGCTTGGCAACCGACAAAGGCTGCGCGGGAGAGGAGAGGGTCAGTGGATCTGTTTAGCGCTCAGAGGAGGGGCCTTGGGATGCCCCCAACTCGGGCACCCAGGCGCTTGTCCCTCCGGGGGTCTTTTCACATTGCGATTGCTCCCCCGCCCCCTGCCCCCAATGATGTCTGTGCCCTCCCCGGCAGACCCCTCCTCAGCCCCTAGAAAGGTCCAAAGGAGAATTGGCAGATGGCTGTAGCAGTAAAAACTTGTCTTCCTTTGTCCGTCTCCTCTGGCGGCCCTCGGCTCTCATTGTCATGCCGACGGGACAGTAGGGGCCACAGAGCAGAGTGCTGGCTGAACATTAACCCCGGCCCTAGCCCCACAGTTTGTTTCGAAAGCCCCCAAAAGGGGCACTGAAGAAACTGTCAGCTTGGGAAGTGATGGCGGGGTGGGGGATGGGGGGGCGGGGGGGGCGGGTGTAGTTATTGGATACACTTTGCGGGGGGAGGGGGGAAGGGCCAGAGAAAGAAGCCCAAACTGGAAGTTTTCAGAGAGAGGAAGAGAAAGAAACCTTTTTTTTGAGCTTAACTTGACTATTTAATTACTTAATCATATTTTCCGGAGTGAGGCATTTCACCGAGAATTTCATTTAGTGAAGTTCAAACGCAAAATGAAACAAATACGGGTCTGTATATCTGCGCGGGACTGTTTCCTTTGGGGATCACATGATATCTTAAAATGGGCTTTTCAACAACTATTTTTGCCTTTAAAAATGTTTAGAAACCAGAACATCAAGTCCTTGACCACCAGACTCTAGGCCGTGAGATTTATCTACATTCAGCATCGTTTCCTGATTCATAATACAGTACTTGTATTAAGAGGGTTAAAAAGAATTTTTAGGGGGTCATAATTTCTAACAAAAGCGTTGCAAAACTCGTGCAGAGAACTCATGTGCCTATCAGCCAGCTTCCTCGGTGGTTAATGTTTTCACACTTTGGCTTTCTTAGTCTCTGTCCAAGCCAGTAGAGAGTTAAGATGCAGACTACATCATGCCTTTTTGCCCCTAAATGCTTCAGTGTTGAATTCCTACGGGACACTTCTCTTACATAACACAGGACAATTAGCCAAATCAGGAGATTTAACATTGGGGCGTTTCTATTCGTCTCATCTAGCCTCCTTACTCAAAATTTGCCATTTGTCCCTAACATGTCCTTTAGATGCGTTTTTTTCCCCTGGTCCAGGAACCACTCCAGGTTTGCCAGTTGCGTTCCGTTGTCCTTTCTTCTTGGCCCTCCAGCCTGGCACAGCTCCTGGGTTTGCGTTTTCATGACATGGACATTTTGGGAAAGGACAGGCCAGCCTGAGGGTGGTTACTTCTCAGCTTGTCCCTTGATTTGTGTTTGATGCCTCCCAATGAGAGGCATGGCATGCATTTTTAGCAGGAGTTAATGTAGTTTTATGAATGTCAAAGGCACAGATTTTTGTCAGGGTGTTGCCAAAGTTTTAGAGGCATTAGGTTAATCAAATTGAAAACATTTCAAACTTGGAGAAAAAAAAAAAGAAGAATTTGATTTTGAACAACTGACCTCAAAACCCACTGGGAGGAAACACAGTTGACAGTTATTTTGTTTCTTTAATAGCTCCTTCCGACTTTTTTTTTCCAGATTATATATGTATTTTTTAATTTCTGTAAAACAGTAACAGGATAGTAGCAGGGCCTGAAGTATCTGAAAACTCACAGAAAAAAATACACAAATGGTGAATATACATATGAAAAGATCTTAGGCTGCTTCCAACATTTTAGATCATTTTTTTTCATTCAATGTGTATCTAAAACAACAGGCCAGTTGGGTTAATTTTTAATTTAATTGTCATGTCTAATAAGGTTTTGAAGTAGTTTATTAACGTAATTAATCATATACATAGGAATGACTTTTTATTCATTCTTTTAAGAATATTTGAGACTCCATTTTGTCCCAAATCTACGATGGTTTTCCAGTTTTTTTCCCCCCCTCACCCAAGGACACGCTTATTGATTTTTAGAGGGGGGGCAGGAGGGAGAGACACAGAAGAGACATGGGTGTGCCAGAGAAACACTGATCGAGTGCCTCTTGCATGTGCCCCGGCCTGGGACCGAACTCACAACCCAGGCATGTGCCTTGACTGGGAATCAAACCTGTGACCCTTTGGTTCCCAGAACGATGCTCTAATCAACTGAGCCACACTGGGCAGGGGGTGGTAGTTTTCTGTTTTAAAGAGGGAAGCACAAGGGGCTGGGCTTCGGGAATTCGTGGTCCAGTGAGGTACCCGGGCATGTAAGCAGATAGTTTTAAAACCCTAACTAGTAATTACACTTTATGGGCGTGAGTGGGGGCCCCTCAGGAGGGACGCCCCTTCCCGGACCACCGCATCCCTGGTCTGGGTGGGAGCCTCCTGCGCCTGCCTCCTCCCTGCCGTGGGGGCAGATCCCCTCACCTGCCATTTATGGACAATTGCACTGGTACCTACCTAAGGGAGCTGCTTAAATGTAACTCCTGCGTGGGCAGCGCGCAGGGCTGTGCCTGCGATGTGCTGTCTGCTCGAGAGAGGCAGTGCCGCTGGTGCGGGTCACAGCAGGGGTCCCTTTAGTGTTGGTGGGTGAATAAATAGAGGTATTAGCCGGGGGTTATGGGAGGCTACAGGGACCCAGCAGAGAGAAGCTGCTGCTGTCTTCCCAGAAGAGGTGGCCTTCATCCTGCGTCTCCCAGGACGGAAGAGAGCAGGACTTGGCACCGGGGTGACACGCCCATGAAGCTGCCCTGATACAGAGTTCCCCGAAGGCCCCAGGTCATGACGGCCGGGTGTGCGGGGGACGGGACCCTAGGGTGCAGCCCCACCTCGTTCTCCCCAATGAGGCGGCCTTTCCTGAGCCTCTCCCTCCTGGGGAGATGGAAGAAAGACCCTGTAGGCCAGTGAGGACCTGAGACTTTGTGATCTGGGAATCTGTATACAAGGCACGCTGCGGGGACAAGGTGTTTGAAAAGATGGGGTCCCCATTGGCAAGCAGGAAGCAGAGAAAATGAAGGATGATTACCTACCACAAGCCAGCCAGGGGCTGGAGGAGCCCTGGGCTGTCATTTTTAAACAGCCCTGTCAGGGGAGCTCTTCCAGGGGACCAGGGCTCAGAGAGGGAAAGTGGTGATGTAGCTGGTTAGTGACTGCGACCCTGGCTTGTCTGAATGGGAAGCCTTAGCCCCCCCTGTGCCAGGTGCTGAGCTCAGCGCTTTGCCATAGACGATCTCAATGATCGCTGTGCTGTTCAGCCTTAGTGCATCTGCTGCAGGAGGACTTTTTAGAGTAAAAAAAATATTTTTAATTTATTGATTTGTGGAGAGAAAGAGGAAGGGGGGTAGGGCGGGGAGGGAGGGAGAGAGGGGGGGAGAGAGATCTGCTCCCCCCATCCATGCATTCATTGGTTGATTCCTATATGTGCCCTGACTGGGCATCAAACCCACCACCTTGGGGTATTGGGATGATACTCCATCTAAGGGAGCTACCTGGCCAGGCTCTGAGTCCAGAGAAACCTATCAATACAGCTTTCTCATTCTACGGTGGCGAAACTGTTGAAAGCCATTTCAGGATGA